TCTACTCTGCAGTAGTTTAATCGAAATCTTAGCAAAACCAAAATTTTTTCCCATTATCACTCGCAACGAAGATGATCCAAAAATAATATTTTGGGAGCAGTCTAATGTTCATTTACATCCATACCTCAGCTGTGCGCTTAATTAGCGCCATCGCCTTGGCTGTCGTTTGACTGCAGCGACTAACGGCCGAGCGATAAGCAACTCGCAATCGCAAACGAACGAATGAGTGCGGCAGTGCGGCATTGGTGGCGCGCAAATTTGCTGCTTGAAACTTCACGGAAAGCTTCGCTCAAAGTCTGCATTTGTTAAAGAACAGCAGAGTGTGTGTGTGTGTGTGTGAGTTTAAGTATGGAAATGCACATAAAAGCGCAGTCATATAATGAGCAGATAAAGCCTTCCCCCTCTGCTTTCCCCACAAGTCACAAATCATAATTTGGAACATTTTTGATTACCTCTGATTAATTGCTGCTGCTGTTGTTATTGCTATTGTTATTGTTGTTGTTATTGTCTACTGTAAATTTGATAATGATCAGCGAAGAAGTTGAAAGACAAATGAAAGCATACAAACATGTATGTACGAATATACGAGTACGTACACACATACATATACAAACTTATGTATGTGAATATGTATGTATGTATGTATCGCGCAGTGTGCAAATTCTGCGGCAAAACATAAAAGTGCACTGCGAGGCAAGTTGGGTTGGCGGCGGGCAGAAAGGCAGAATTTTATTGCGATCTCATGCAATCCCACAGTTCGTTTGCATAATATGCACATACATACATACATACATATTGTACATATATTTATATTTATGCCAAAAATTAACAACCAAACATAAATGTGATATGTACAGTCAACAACAACAACAAATGTATGTATGTGGATTGAAAAGCTGAAATGTAATATGCAAATATTTTTGTCGACATAATTGAGAATATATGTATGTACACACAAATATATTATATATGGAAATTAACATACGTGTACATACATATGTACATATGTGTGTATTTAGCTGTATCAATTGTGAGCAATCAGCGTCGAGATCATTATCGCCCAAGGTCCATTGTTTTCAGCGTTTTTTCGTTTCTTCATCCAAAGCGGGAAGATTTGAGCCCCGTCGCGCCGCCTCGCTCAGCTCGCCCTTGCGTCGGACGCTTTGAGTAATTAAAGACGCTCGTCCGTCCGCCCGTCCAGCCACATGCAACATCTGCACACGCACACACACACACATTCGTAGCCTCATAGCGCGATAAAGCGGTGCCAAACACTTGTTTGTATGCAAAATAGGGGCACTTCTATGCAGGCGAGTCCATATCTTATGACAGAAATGATGAAAATGGAATCATTGCGTGTCACGAACAAATTCAGATTTCCCGCATTATGTATGTAGATATATGATAAGTAAGTAGCATGTATGTATGTATGTATGCACATATATGCATACGTGTACGAGTGAGTTTAATATTTGCGTGTTTCGTTTGTGAATTTTTTGAAGTAGCGAAGAAGGAAAATTCTTGGAACTTTCCTATCTATTCTGCATGTGCGCGCTCATTGCATTAATAAATGCATACACTTATATACATACATACACACACGTATTAACTCATACTTGCCGCGCTGGTTTTGTTGCTGCTTCTTTTTATTTAATTTATTTTTTATGATTGCACTTATTTTCCTTATTTTGCCCTCTGTCATACATTTGTATGTATGGATGTGTATGGATGTGCATCGTTTATCATTAAAAGTATGCACAATTACCCAAAACTCGGCATAGATTCCACCCGGTCGGTCGGTCCACCTGGTCGGTTGGGTTTATATGGCAGCCGGTGTGGTCAACGGAGTAAATAGCAGTGAGTGGCACTACGCAGTGTGTCATAAGTTCTTGTTCTGAACAGATCAACAGGTTTTCAATATTGAGTGAGTCTACCTGAAGGAAATCCAAGATTACCGTGACAATTTCCGGAGTACTCGACTACAAAGACTGCATACATTCAGCCCAGTATGCAAGAACTGCTGGGCAGTACGGTTTACAAATAGGCTTTAAGCGCCATTCACGGGTGTCCATCAACACGTTCTTGAGCTGTTTTCCAATGAACGATGTTCTCAGAATCCAATCACCACCCATTGCAGGCGAAGAGCTCGGGATGCCTCAATGAAGGACTCAGCCAATGTGATATTCTGCGATAGCTTATACCCTCGAAAAGAGCATACTTCGACCCCAAATGCATAACTAAAATGTTAATTCGAAGTAATCCTAAAACACGTGAGTCCAACCATGTGCGTTTGAGTGTAAGTTTTTCTTCCCCAAACGAGCTCTTTTCATTATAGGCATAAAGTTACCCTCGGTTATTTCGACCGGATTAAAGTTGTGAATTTGGCATGGAAAGTACCATCTGACTTTCATGATAAATTTTAACCGCCCCTCTCCCCTGGTCCGAACCCGTCAAACCAGCCCATTTTCATGAACCTCTCGTTAGATGACCTTGGTGGCTTAGACTAGTCTCAACTGCTCCTAACTGGAGTTGGATAGCCGCTACAAAAACTACAACAACCAGGAAAATCTTGGCTGGCGATGAGTTGTAAATGTTGGCAAAAAATTTCTTGTAAAACCACAAATCAGGAATTTAAAAAAAAGAAATAAATGAATTTATTACCTCAGCCTTATAACCTCAGCTTCGGGGTGTAAGTCGTTAAAAATACACATGCTTGACTCTCAATTGGAAATCTTCTCGCAAATTTGGGTGCCTTTTTGTAGATTTTTGTATTTTTCGATTTTGATGTCGCAATAAAACCTGAAGATAGATATTTCATGATCATGATTTTATTTGTTCAATACTTTTTGGGCTTGTCGACCCTAGAGAATGCAATATAAAACTGTCCAGATGCGAAGCAATCAGTGTCTAAATGCACAATTGGATAATTGACTGCCTCGTCTGCCTCAACAACGATAAATTCTCTCTTATGGGTAAGGCATGTGTGGTTGAGATCGTGGGCATCTGTATCGAAAATAGCTCCCGCACACAGCCGCACATGATCCCTATAATTGATTTGAGTATTTGTTGATACTCCGTGAATCAATTGTTCTCTTTTACAGGTTGACACGCATATTGGTGGCTGGTTGCGGGGTTCGCATATGCCGCCAAAACGTTGAGTATCTCAAGCAAACATTGATCTCTATCGCGGGTGTTGATCGAGGACAGGCAGGCAATGTTGTTGTGTAAAAATTTCAGTCGCTCGGTAACTTTTCGATATAAAATGATCCAGTATGTCCTTCTTCACTGCTCAAAGTCTTGCACAAAAATGTCAATATAAATCACTTAAGCGGTTACGTAGGCCTTAAAGGTAAAAAAAAAGCTTTTTTTCTCAATTTTTTTTTAAAAGTACAATATGTGCACGACATTTGATGAAAATTTTAATATAAAATAGTATAAGACAAGACGTTGGCAGTGTCGGGAACTCGACCGTCCACAAGAAAGTGCTTTCGCGGTAGTCATGATAACTTTTTCAATTTTTATCTGAAATCAAAAATCCAATTTTTTACTTAAAGTAGGTGAATCTTCCTTACCCCTGGACGAAGAAAAAATAAAAATATTAAAAGTTGAATTTTTTGTAGCGGTTTTTACAAAAACGTCATTTTTTTGCATAAAATTAGGTCACATATTGACTTGTAAAATGAGTTGAAATCAAAGATCAAATTAATCCTTCGTTCAGGGACTACAAAAAACATGCTTCAAAGATTAAAGAATCGATTTGAACTCGATCGCTTCAAAAGTCGTTGAGAAAATTTGACTACCGATTTCGATAAAGTGGATTTAAGAAAACCACGTTTAGGGTTTTATCATCGGTCTGACCATGACAAAGACGGCAAGTCATAAAACTCTACAATTTCTACAGTTTCGTCTCGATCGACTTGAAACTTGGGGAAAATATTCCTGACACTTTGTATTTTTTTATAAAATATGCAAAAAAAAATGAATTTTTCAAACTCAAGTCGAATACGAGGACACCAAATAATAAAAATGCGAAGCGAACATGATCTATGCTTATATCCAAATCATATACATAATTTTGTCAATCCGCTGGTGATCGCTTTCCCGTAAAGAAAGATGTATTATTACGAGATAATTGAAATTATTTCCCGGTCTCTGTTCCATTTCCAAGAGAAATCATCCGAAATTTCAACTAAATCGATAAATGAACGATCCAGGTATATTACTGCTGCAGTTCCTGAGTAAACCTATCCAGGAAGCATTTACACAATCTAACAAACTTTCAAGTCAATCGGCGGGTAACTTTTGAAAATTTGCCGATCATTCCCAATGACCATAAGATTTCAATATATAATAATAATTTGATTTACATTTTCAAGTGACAAAATAGTTTCAATTTTGTTGACCAGTAAAAACCCACTTATGGTGGCACGCATTCGACCATGGAGTTCGAATTAAGGACCCAAAGCGTCGTATAAAAAATAAAAAGCAGACCAATTATTTACTTATCATTTTATTATTATTTTCATTTTACTGCAATAAATTATCTTCGCTGAATTTATCTGACAGAATTGTTTATTGTGAAGATTTTTATTGAACCTCTACTTTGTTATCACAGTATTAAAACAAATAAATATACACTAATTGTTACTAGCTTACGCTCATGCTAAAGTGCTTACATACAAACTTACATCCACAAGGAGTACAGCTATTAATGCTTAAAAATATCTTGACTATGGTGATTCTCATTTAAAGTACGGTTTACATAGTGAATTATTGAAACGGTGTTGGATACTCGTTTCTTTCTCATTAACAAATACATAAACATGTACATATACATATATACATAGACATATACTTATGGAAGTGCATACCCTGTTCGCTCCGAATACATACATACACGTATGTGTGCATGTATTAGTGGGATCTTTTTTTTAACTTATTTATTATTGAACTTCTCGCTGCTTTCTTCTATTTTATAAGACCAGCTGGACTTTGACACCAACACATACATATGCAATTACTTACAAATAAACATTAAGTAATAATACATATTTACGGTAAACTTATTTGAAAAACGTTGCACACAAGGAATACTTCGGATACAGATTAGACGTAGCTGGAACTTTTCAAAGTTTACCTCAATGTATATATTATGAAAATAACTGTAAATGTCTGTCATAAATTTTATTACCATAAACAGAGTTTCGCGGACGATTTTCTGTTTCTTTAAGGATTAACCGCAAAATAGCACACCGTTATCCGCAAAGCACTGTACGGACGTATAACTGTAGTGTTGGATCAACCTTTCGTGGCATGCAAATTTACGATTACAAAAATATGCAACACAACGCGGGGTATTACTTCTTTGAAAGCCTTCACTGCATCATCATCATATAGGGTGACTCACTGCCGTGCTCCCCGGTCGGACTGTCCATGGAGGGATTGATTCGTTTCTCCTTTTGCCGTCGGTTACAGAACCAAACTCGCACAACCTCCTTCTCCATGCACAGACGGTCGGCCAGTTGGGTGATCTCCTCGCTCGTGGGCTTCTGATTCATCATGAAGGCCTTCTCGAGAGCGCCACGAATCGACGTTTCAATGGATGTGCGCTTTTTCCTGCGACGGCCCATTACTTCGGGCGTGCTAACGGTTTGCAGCGCAGCTGGATCAAAAATGCTGTAAATGATGGGAAGAAAAGGGAGAAAAAATAAAATCATGAGATATATGAAAAACATAAATGAATAAAGAGGTTTTGATGTATCCACCACATCCTAAAAAACTTGGCGCAGATACGTCTGCGTGCCAAAGGCGAATTCATGAAGGCTGTAGAAGGAACGCAAGCGCAAAAATTACTTTGTATGATCGAGGGTTCTTTGACTCCTGGGATTGCACAAAATTTTTTTGACACAAACTAACAAATTATTTTGACAAGCCCTATGCCCGGGCGATTACAATGAATGAAAAAAGTTGAATTCGCTGCCACAATACCTTCACATAGTTGAACCCGCCTTGTGAGCACGAAACCTCTTATTTTTTCGGAAAAATTATCCACTTAATCTTGAGTACTCACCCGCCAGTCGCCTGTATTGTACGATCCGCGTCCTCCAACCATTTCTGCAGCAGCGGCTTCAGCTTGCACATATTCTTGAAACTCAGATTCAGGGCTTCAAACCGCGAGATCGTCGTCTGCGAGAAGTCATTGCCGTACAGTTTGCCCATAGCCAAGCCGACGTCACCTTGCGTGAATCCCAACTTGATGCGGCGCTGCTTAAATGTTTTGGCGAACTGCTCGAGCTCCTCGAGATCTGTCGTCTCCTCTGGCGAGGGCTCGCCTGCCAAACGCTGCGCTGCACCAGCCGCTTGTTTCAACATTTGCGGCGTCTGGGGCGCACCGCTAATGGTGTTCGGCGTGAGTATGCCGCTCACTTTGAGACTAGTACCCGGATTGGGCGGTGTTATTTGATTGTGCGAGTTCGCGTTGAAATTCATTTGTAGCGATGGCGATGAGGCGGGACTTTGTATGGGCGTGTGCTGCGTGGGGGTCGCGGGATGTGCGCTACGAGATTTCGGTGTTTCCTCCAATTGATGTTGTTGTTGTTGATGTGATTGCAAGTGCGGCTGTTTCTGCAGCTCCTGCTGCTTCTGCAGCGACTGCAACTGCTGCGTCGCTTGCGTGAGCGCTTGTACGCGACTGTGGAATAGGAACTGTGCGGCTGCGATTTGTGTGGCCATAGTGGGGTCATCCGGCGCGATGCCCAGCGAGCCACTGCGTAAGATCTCGATATAGCTCTGGAATTGTTGATGCAATGTGGTCTGTTGTTGCTGCAGCGTTTGCTGGAATTGTGTAAAATCCTGGGGGGAGATCGCGGTGCCGAGCGCGTGTGGATATAGCGGGCTCCCAAGGCCCAGACCCGCACTGGCGGCCAATTGTGCGAGTTGTGTCTGTTGCGAGGCAATGTTTGGCATGTGAAATGTGTTGGTGCTGAATGGGAGGTGTGCGGCACTGCTGTCGGTGGCGGGCGTAGCAGGCGAGGAGCGACTAGCGCGCAGCGATTTCAATGATGGTGACGTCGACTGCAAGCTCTGGCGTGAACTCTCACTAGTCAAATTCAGCGCACCAGACTCAGCGTCTCGCAAGGTTTCGGCCACGGCTTCCTTTTGGAGACCAGTCAATTTGCAGTCCAACGCGTGGTCAGCTCGGTTCAACACATCCAGCAGATGAGACTTCAGCGCCGGCAGTTGATGATGATGCTGATGTTGGTGTTCTTCCGATGGCGCAGCAAATATCGACGGCGGACTCTGCGGCGAGAGGCAACGGTCGCTGGAATTCCCCGCTACTGAGTTGTTATCGCCACAGTCCGAGGCTGAAAATGCAGATAAAAGTAAAGAGGGCGAGAGTGAGCTTCCACTTTATGCTTTATTGGTGAATATTTAAGAAATTTAAATGCAAATTAAAAGTGAAATGGAAAATGGAAAATGGTAATTTTTGGTGAAAAACTTGCAAAACCTTTCAATTCGCACGTGTCCCTTTGATGTGCCAATGCCCAATGCCCAATGCCCAATCGATATATTTGCTTATGCCGAGCACATACCGAGACTTGCTTACTTTATAAATGACCATTTTGTGTTAGTTTAACGGTTCATAAAAATTCAACTTAACTATGCAAAACTGTCTGCAGAAGCACATGTGGGCGCTCATATGAGTGGATATGTATGTATTTATGTAAGTAATTTTGTGTGTGCAAAGTATACAGTGCGGAACCCACACATCAACTGGGGATGGGACGGCAGGCAAGTGGTTGAAACGTCAAAGCTTACACCTTTTGCATAATTTTACCATAAGCAAACACAATTTCCCTATGCGGAAGGGGAAAGGCGAAATGCGAAATGCGGCGGACAAGAGCCGGGAAGCGAGAGGCGAGGGGGAGCGGATAAAGTGAAACTACTTTGTTCTTTTTTCGCATTTCTTTAAATGTGGTCAATTTCATAGTCCGTTGGACTTATATTTCAAACATTCCCTCCCCTAAGCGACTCTTGACATCCTCATCCGGGACAGCGGCGCCGACGACGGGCAGCGTGTAGAGAGGTAAGTGAGTGAAAATCTTTCACAAATAGCCACATTCAACAGTCGACAGTTGTTTTGCGAAAATGTGCATATTTTTACAATATTTTTAAACAAAGTTTGCACGGAGAGGGGTGGGAGGTCTGCTATTGAAATACTGAAATACCGAGTCGATTGTGCTGTTTTCTTTTCATTTCGCAGTTCAATTGCGGGGTTTTTGAATGTTAAGCAACTAGATCGAGCGAAAGAAACAAACACACACACATACATACATACATACATACATACATACATACACATATATATATATATATATATATATATGCATACATAAGGAAACAGATGAATTTGGTTTTAAAACAAACACACACGCGCACTTAATAAGCAATTCTGAAATGTGTTTTCAAAACATTGAATTCTCAATGGGGGCGGGTGCAACAACTAAACCACAACACCTTAGATACATACACGTATGTATATGAATTCCAAAATATAAATTAAAAAAAAAAACGAAAATATACACAGATAACATTTTAAAAATTTGGGTGCAGAGAAGTTCAATACCTGGGAACAGTTTGTCGAAAAATCTTTAACATTTCAGATATTTTAACACTCTGTAAATACAATTAATATTTATGGAAAAGTGTGGCGATAAAGTCTAAAAACACAAATCTGTGATACAAAATTTCAAGATTCTCGCAAAAGTGCTTGTAAAATTTCTAACAATGAACAATGAGCTCGAGATGTTTGAAAATCCTCGCACCAAATCTTTAGCTCTAATGCATGCGAGTACACAAAAAGCGATCTGAGTCAGAGAAATTTTCAACCGAATGCTGAAGATTACTGTTTCTACAAATCCATCTTAAAACTCTTTAGTACTCTTCCCAGGCCTACTTGCGCACCAAGCGATGCAAACTAAGCCCAAAAAGTACAGCTATGCAAAACAGCGCGATAACTTGAGAGCTCATACTTCAATGCTGAATATGGGAGCACCTTAAACTGAAGCTTATCTTGCAAGTTCTCTCGTAGCACGTTTAATCCGACTCTTCCAACACCAATTTTCTCAAGCTGTCACTTTCTCCAAGTTGTATATTAGAGTTGATCCCAACAAGAATAACCTGATGGATCCTTGAACACAGGCAAAGATACGTTATTTTCTAAGCAGCTCGTAATTCTTAAAACTTCATTTCTGAATGGTCTCTAGAAAGCTGAGGAAGCTGGGATCTGGGAAGAAACCACAGAGCTGACGATTGACTCCGATATATTGACTCTGGAGCTCTCGGCAATTTTGTTCTCGTAGAGATTTTCGGTTTCAGAAATAGAACTGATTGTCTTAAGTCTTAAGATTCTATTCGTCAGGCACTTAGAAGCACCGCTGCCAACCGTTGGAGCACCATCGAGATAAAACGTTTTCAAGTCAAAACCAATTCTTGTTATCGTATATCCTGTGACGTCTTATCCTAAGTGGCCTGCAGTCATCTTTCCACTCTACATATGTAAAATTGTTTGGGGAAGGATAGCGAAAACTCTCTATGCTGCTAATAAATTCTCCGCCAGTGTATGTACAATGAGCTAGTCGATGGATGAAAGCATCCTGAGTTGCTTATTTTCTCACGTTGTAGAAGAGTTATGAGTTCTTAACTTCTGTTGTTTGTCTTGCTCAAATTTGTAGATGCAGTCGCACATACAAACATACACAGCCGCCCGAATGACTATGAGAAATTTGAATGGAATTTGAATAGCTAAAACATTCATCCTCCATTTCCATACACTAACACACATACACATCTATTTGACATTGGCAAGTGTAAAGTCCTTTTTCAGTTTTGATGACTTACTTGCCTCGCTGAACTTGGGGCAGTCAGTGTCCGTCTCATCTGTGTGGACTCATCTGCCACTGACCATTCGGCAGAGTTGGCCTTTTTACATAAACACACACACATATATATATTATACCGTATATATATATATATATATGGGTGTATGCGCATGTGAGCATAAATGTACGTGTAATATTTGGTATTCAGATGATGATGTGCAAAATTCATAAGCGATGAAGAAATAAAGACAGTGGCACCAACAACTCCCACCAGGAGGGTTGGGCTGAGGAATATACGAAATTTTGAAACCAAATTTCCAATCTTTCAAGTTCCAAAAAAAAATAACGAATACGAGAGTGGCGACAACTAAACGGAGAACCCCTTTTTGGTGCACGACCCTGTCTTTTGTTGCCATAAAATCAAAGATTGGTCAGTCGCATGTGGTCCGAGTTTGCATGCAATCTCATAAAAACAGATCGCCTGCTCTCGTAAAGGAGGATTCTTGAGGAAAAAATATGTAAATTCGGTCACATCGCCGTAGAAATTGCCAAATCTCTGCATGTGGGGGGAGGCAGCGTAGGAAAAGGCCACGGCAGAACGTGAAGACATTTACACATACAGAGAGTTGAGCGTATGCAATATTTAGAAATATCTACATTCATATATACTCATTTGATTTTGGCATACATATACTCGTACTTGGATTTTTGCATTTTACATACGAAATTTACATATAAAAAAGTTCAAATTCAGCAAAAAAAGGATATAACAAATGCAACCAAGCGTGAGTTGCAAATTCTTGACCCGATACGTTCTTCTACTTATACATACACACTTGTACATCAATACAAATCGAATAGGGTTATGAATAATAATGAACCAATTGAATATTAGATTTACATACTGCCGTTTATGAAGGTATTCCGTTGCACAAACAACAAATACATACTCGTACACAAACATCTATAGGACTGTTCATCCCTCTGTATATGCATACAGATAGATGTATAAATTCAAACGTTTTTTGCTTCACTCGTTAAATCGATGACCACCCGAATTCTTAGCTAAATTATTCAAAATTACTCCTAAAATTTATTGTCACACGTATAAATGTGAATGGATATACATACACATACGAAAAATGTTAAATTTTCTTAAATATATCACTAAAAAGTAATATTTTAATAAACGCAACTTAATTTAATTTTGCTTCATTCTTTTATTCTATTTTATTTCAAATTTTATTTCTTGATACTGTTAACTTAATTTAATTTAAATAAATTTAATTTAATTTAATTTAATATAATTTAATTTAATATAATTTTATTTTATTTTATTTTATTTTATTTTATTTTATTTTATTCTATTTTATTTTATTTTATTTTATTTTATTTTATTTTATTTTATTTTATTTTATTTTATTTTATTTTATTTTATTTTATTTTATTTTATTTTATTTAATTTTACTTCGTTCAGTTGCAAAACACAAACGATAAGCGAGAATTAATATTCACAAAGTATCGATTTCCCCGCGGCTTCCTCTGCAATATTTATATTGGTAGATAATTGAAATGTCAAAATTTTCGAAACACTTTAAAGGATCATCTTTTGAGCAGGATAATGAGTGCAGGTCACATATGTGCATGCTTATTCAATACTCCTTAAAATGAAATTAATAAAAGACGAAAAATATTTCTTATGGAGAGGAGTGAAAAATCGAAAGTGCGAAAGACACGTGGCCTAGCGTGACAATAATCACGGCGACGATGGTGAGGGTCTCCAGCCAATATCTCAATGCATACATAAATATATGTATGTACGGGCGTGTGTGTAATGGCGTATGCTATCTTAGGCACTCCAAGCAAGGGTTGAAAGGACCTCAGCGGATCCCCACGATACCCTCCAGCAGATGGCTTACATACAAAGTGTACTATGAAATACATCCATACTTGTTTGTACATATGTATGTGTGTTGAGACGTATGTGTATATGACCAGCATTAATAGTGAAGACAATATGACTTACAAAAATTGATTCATTTCGATTTCATTTGAGCCCTCAAAAAATTTGCTTTCAACAGTGTACGTACGTACGTATGTATGTACGTATGTGTACTAAAAGTATACGATTATTTATTGCAACTAGTGTTTATCTGTCTGTATGAAAGCAGATGTTTTACTGCAGCAACAGAAGGTCTCCGCTGCTGATCCTAAGGTCTGTTTAGCATTTTCATATGCTGTTGTTGTTATTGTTGTTGTTATACTGGAACTGAAACAGACAAATCGTAAATTTATCACACATTTAGGTGCCTCGTTCGAGCCACGAACACTGCGCAACAGTGGTGAGGAGTACGAGATATAAGCTGATGAGAAGCGAAAGGACGATATAAGCAGAGCGATTGAGACAAATTTTCCTTTCAAACAATTGGATATTGGTAAGCCCACATTATATGTAGGTATGTATGTATGTATATATGTATTATATATATGAGACGATAGTGAGAATTAACATTTTGATTTGCTTAGGTCAGGCTGATATAAAGCGTTGTGTTTCGCACTTAAGTCCAAACTTCTGACTTTACAATGAATCGTAATTAGATTCACTCTGTGGATTTCACCAACAAACCGTTAGATTGCTGTGAGCTCACCTAGAACTCTTGAGTTCCAGAATTCCTACATTACGTTTTCCTTAGCCTGTGGTTTCATTAAGATCAAATTGCAACGACAACGGCTGGAGTGCTTTGATCGAACTTACTTATATTATTTTTGAAATTTTGAACGAAACAAAACGAGCAAAACTTGGTAATAACAAATAAACTTACCAGCATATTGCAACGGCGAAGGAGATCGCGCTAGACGACTGATATCTGGAAAGAGACGAGTGATGGAAACCAATTATTATTTTAATTCAGAAGAAGAATAAAATGTTTTACGAATAAAATAAAACTATTGGCTATTAATATCAAATCAAATCCTAATGTACATATGTCTATACATACTCGTATACATACACACTCACATTTTGAAGAAGTAAGTGGAAAATGTTCAAAGAAATGTATAGAAGAACCTTTCCGTCCGATTGAATTGGTAAATTGACTTTGGTCCAACGTACGAGTATTTTAGTGATAAGAGAAGATATAGACCTACCAAAATTTATACTGATTCTGTCAGAATGACTAGTTTAGCCACGCTCATATGTCTGCCTTTTGTACTCAGGTTTTTTTTTTAGTTATTTCAACCAAACGTGGTAAACGATCCTTTGCTGTAGCCGGCCGGATAAAACCTCTATAGAAGAAAAGCGATGGTCGAAGACAGATCTACTACTTTTTTTTCAAATGTTACTTCTTTAAGCGGAGTCAGTTAATTGGTGATGGTTTAAGGTTCCATGAATATGAAAATGTTGGGAGAGCCATCTCTTATATATATGTAGGTACAAATATGCTGTTTTTGTGTTTCTGATTAAACTTCTCTTGTGTATCAAGAGAATGCGCGAATAGTTAAATTAAAAATTAAGAAGAGTTTCCTGCTTCGAGATTCTTAATATATAACAACCTTTCATAAGTGTCTAAGGGTACTAAATCAAAGGGAATAATAAAGACTTATTGTGGAAGAGCTGGAGATTTGCCTAGAAATGCTCAACCACTTGGGAGAGCCCTGGTATTTTTATATAGATTGTTGGGGAAATAAATATAGGAAACATAGGGGAAAATAATGAAAACTTATAAAACAAAAATCAACAAAAATTATTCTTTATTCAAATATTAATATACATATATACCAGGGTACCGCCAGCAATTAAAACTGATCACTAATTTTTGCCCTCGGATTAAGTTCATAACCAAGATTATAATTCAGCAACAATATAATTTGATTTGAATTTGATTCAAGTCCATAAACAAAACGATTCCCACTAAAATATCGATTCAAAAACTCATACGGACACGTTGAGAAAAATTCGAGGGTTTGGCTGAATCCCAATAGACACCGCAAGCCCAAATACAATTTGCGCTGTGATTCATCCGTAAGTAAAACCGTTTAAATATGCAACTAAGTAAAGGCGAACACTACTTTTCATTTTTATGACCGATTTGTAGTATTCTTCGATTACCGTTAAAATATTAATGTACACCTCGCGCAGCACAAAGGACCAACAATGTTGTGAATTTATGACTTTAAACGGAAATTTATGCATTAGTGTATGGAGAGTCCTTTGTTTATGTAAATATATGTATGTAATAAATACGTAAATACTATGTGCATTCATAAGTACATGTAAGAACGCTCGAAAAGTGCTAAGCATGAGTGCTTTAAATAGTTTTATGGCAGTTTTCGCATGAACTCATTTTTCTTACTTTCCTTTCACGGTTTCTTTTTTAGATATGATATTAAGTTAAGAACACTAATTCAAGTTTTGACAGAAAAAGAAAACACAATGTGATAAATATTAAACACTATAAAGCGCTATTCATAATATTTATCTACCTAAAGATGCAATGTAAACATCTTTTTCAAATAGCTTCGCTGTCACATTGCGCCTAATCAATTTAAAAATAATATATTTTTTATGTACTTAATTTAACAATTGCTTTATAACAAGCAAAAAGCCTGCGACCTATCCATAACTTTGGCCAATCTAACGGGAAATCAAAATACTTGTCAAAATCATATAATAAAATAAAATAATTTAACGGCAGACATATCTCGATGCCTTCAATTACGGTTAGATCCCAAGCATAATGAAGAATGGGTTCGCACGAACCTGCATACACACATATATACCACACAGCAGAAGGAGTAATAACTAACAAATGTAACGGCACAAAAAAAAGTTAAATTTAGCCAAAGGTAAAAGAAAACAAGTAAGGAAACGCTAACTGCGAGTGAAGCCCATCTTTAAACTGTAAAGAGTTCATTATCTGAGAAATAGCCACCACATCGGTCCTAAAATATAATACAATACAATAAATAAATTCATATATACTTGCATATGAAACTAAGAGTACGCTTGTCATTTGATGAAGCTCCCACCAGCTGGGCAAACCAAATATACCCTTTTTACACGCTGCACTTGGCTAGAATGAAAGCACTTCCAGTTTAAATTAGAGATAAGCAAAACAACCAAAGATTTCCAATTAGTATATACATACATATGTATGTATGTACCTATGTATGTGTGTATGTACATATGTATGTACGTAGCGATCAGTGCTTATTAATAAAAATGATTAGCACAATGTTTGGCACTCAAAAGAAAGCCATTGATAACTTAATAGATACACATATACATACATACATACTACGTGCAGAGCGACACTTACATATACTCGTACTGAGCCAGTATGTGGCTTCGTTATACCGTACGATCGCCATACGATCGCCGAAAGTGACAAATGACTAACCGTTATAATCATACGGAAATTGCGCAAAACTGTCAATAAAGTAATACAAATAAATTATAGATACTCCGATGTATGTATGTACATATGTGTATGTGAGAATTCCAACTTGTCTGCATTAGCACCGGCAAGCGATCTTCTCGCTCGGCACATTTCGCCTTTTGCCGTTTATCAGATTTATCGTAAAAACGGTTATTATTTACCGATACTTCATTTACCTTTGATATATAATATGTAACGGTACACAATTGTCAATTGCTCTGATTAATTGCCATGTAACCTGACACAGCACTTATGCATGTATGTGTGTATGCATGTAAAAATGTGCATCTAACTGTCGTAACATTTTCGTTAAGCTTAAGACAGAACTATTGGAAACAAACATACATATGTATGTATATACGTCTATACTATCATTTTAATTCTTAAAAAAGGGCAGAACTGACCAAAGTGACCAATTAAAAACTTTGAAATATTATTGAAGACATATCTGAATTTGAAAAATAAATGGCGTTATGTCTAAACCTTTAACGAAATATTCTTATATACATACATACATACAAACGAGTATATCCCTCGTGTATTGAAAATTGAAATAAGCTTTTTTAAACAATTTGGTGGGAATTTTCATTCGAAAACAAAAACAATATTAAATAGACGCCAGTTTGTCAGAAATCTAAATTTGTATTAATCCATGGAACCAAGGAAACTGTAAAATAATTACTTTTTCTCAGCGATCTATTTTGCTCACGCCCACAATAGTCGTATTTATTGTCTGAGTGTTTGAGTCAGACTCGAAAAATAATTGTTATTAACTAAATAAATCGATTAAAAATATTGAAATAAGAAATCGCCACAGTTCGGAAAGGAGTACGTAGCCTTCCGGCGAAATTATTTTGGTTGAGATCATCGCTGCTGGCCATACTTTGGAACTCGTGCGGATCATAATCTACTGAAGTGGTGAATACAAGTGTTTTTAATTTGATTTAATTTTCACTTGTAATGTATAAAAAAGCCTGGAAGAGTTTCTTCGAAGTGTTGACCGGGTGCAGCTTAAGAAACTTTTAATTTACATATATGTAGGTACCCAAAAATCCCTCCGTCGAATTGTACACACTTCAGATTGATATAGATGAGAGCTTTGTTTTACGGTCAGAACCTTTTCGAACGTGGTAAACGAATCCATCGTACAATGCTAAAGATGGATCGCAGCAGTTTCCACTAGGCTTTGCATAGTGAAATTTCGAGTATGACAGCAAAGTTTCCACCTTGTTCTTAAAGAAAAGTTCAAGTCAACAACATCAGTCTATTAAAATTCAATAAAAATAATAATAAAATAATAACTGTTATCTTCGGTCTTACCCTGGTCTCTATACCATTAACGACCATATCAAAATTACGTTTTTCAATTTAAAATTAAATACTAAATCTCTCCACAGTAAAGTTTTCCGCTAATTTTCAGAATCAATTTTAAATCGACATAAGTGTACAGAATATCAAATTCACGCTCTCAGAAGATTTTTTTTTTTTTCAAATTTACAAATTTATGATCCAAAATCTCTCATCTGTAAAATTGATCGGATATGTATATATGCTAGGGTGGTCTAATCCTTCCGGTTCCGAAAAATGATCGTTCATATGTACAAGTACATCTTCTGCTAAGTCAACTCAACTCGTCATTCTCATCAATATGGTTTAACTCCATCCGATAATTACATACATACATACAACAAATTAAAGTTAAAATACCATTTTATTTACAGGAAAGGTATAAAAATATAGGCCTGAGCAGCAGTCTCTAATCAACTCGAATCTTTTGGGTAAAATAATTTGGCAAAACCAGAAAATGTTTTAAATATACTGTAAAAAAATCGGGAAATAAGATAAAGGTTTCAAAACTCTACAATATTTGTTCTTCAGTTACTGATAAATAACTAGAATTCGATATGGACAAACATACAGCTGTCATATGTACATACATTCCTCCTATCGATATCAAAACATGTGTATGATATGCCAAAACCAATATCTTAAAAAAACTCGTAAGGAGTCGGATAAGAAAACCGACTGAAAATTACTTAAGCAGTCCATCTAATTGGTCAAAAAGACTCGGAGCTACAAGAATTCTTCACAGATCTACTTTTACCACCAGAGCTTCAAAGATGGTTTCTAAAACTTTTTCGCAATAATCAGTGAGATTGTTTCCGGAATTCAAACCGCGGAATAGCCTTGCAAAATCTTGCATTCACAACAACAATTTTATATTCACACCAAGCGCACTTTACGCGAAATTTGCGAGCTTCAACACCAAACAATTGAAAAACTTCAATGAATTAAAATAACGCTTAGCTGGATGTATGTATGTATATATTTGTGTATATACGAGTATGCAAATCTATACTTACATCTATTCTGCATGATATGCCCACTTGTGGGTGTCTTCAACAAATCATGCTTCAACAAATTGTTATTGTCTTTAGGTCCGGTGCTCCAGCGTAACTCCGACATAACCATTTTCACGAAATTTTCACACCAAAATTGTTTAGATTTTTACAATTAATTAATTACTCTTTTTCGAAAACCAAAGTTTTTAAAATTGTTTATACATATGTATGTAAGTAAGTTGTTACACTTTATTGTCAATCACTTAATTGTTTGCAATTCAGTGAGTTCTCAAAGCTTTCAACACGTTTTTTATTACCACCTACATATGTACACAAATACGTTTGAGCTCGTAGTAAAAGAGTTCTAAAATCCGAGCACTCATTGGCTCAGCGGGAGCGGGTCGACCTGGCGCGTTTATGCTTCGCAGAAAACTGAAAGGCCGATAAGACGATTTTCCACAGAACACCTCGATTTGCCGCCGTGTGGCTATGCTTTTCAATAATGTTTACTAATGATTATGTTTTGCTCTTGTTGTTGTTTTTTTTTTGCAGCTAGCTTATGTTGTGTGGACGATGTTATTGCTCAAGAATTGAGGCGGTTGGTGTGTATGCATGTACATATGTACATATTAGTCAATTACATATCATAGACGGATATATTGAAATCACTTTATCGCCTTTTATTTAAGTTAAACCGTTAAACAGCGCGTATATGTAGGTGTATTTAAGTATTTATGCGAGGCGCTTGATGAGTGCCCACAAAGCTTTACTTTATTTTTTTTTTTGCTTAGCTCAGGTAAACTTCGACATTCAAATTGCCAAAGAAAGAGGAACAAACTCTGCTTAGGTCCTTTGCCAAACTCGACTGGACTGCAACTGTTTTGGCCGCTCTTCCTTGTGATTGTCATGAACTTAACTTTATGTCTATGCCGCAAATTCAACTACTCATGTGGCTATGTGTAAGCGTCTGTATGTATACAGATACTTGCAAGGAATCGCATTTGCATTTTCACTACTTGATTGAACACCGTCTACCGATTTTGAGTTGCCAAATTCTCATTTCTACCCCAAAAAGTGCACAGAAATTTATTTGATATTTTCACCCCCTGTTTCTTTCTTTCTTTCTTTCTCCCATTCGACGTCTTTTCCACTGCTTTCCTTTGCGATTTTTGTTTTCCTTCGGCGTTTTCCGTCGCTGAGAGGTTGTGTATGCTGCCAAAAGTCTATTTTTCGGGGATGAAGCTCACACAAGGTAAACGAATTGTACTCAGAACCGGCGACACGAATGCGAATGCGAATGTGCAAGAGCACAATGTTTGCTTAGATCGGCGTTTTTGCACAGAGAATGCGTTTGAAATAACGCGTTTAACTGGTTTAACGACAAAACCCCAACTGACATTGTTGCCTTCTGCTTTGCTCCACATCAGAACATGTTGAGTGTGAAACAGCACACATTCCCCTTGTATGGATCTGATGAGATTTTATACTCAAATAGAAGCAGCCATACAGTCCGCTCGTGGAAGTTACTTTCGGAGATGTTTTGAATATTTAATATTTCAAATAAGACATTGCATTCGCTATATCCTTTTTATACCATTATGCTTCACAATGCTTTGCTTAATTTGTGTTTTAGTCTAATAGGAATGGCTCTCTTGGCCGCCACATCTCCCCAAATGGATAAAACAGATTCCACACGAGCCTCTCCGACGGCAGAGAGCAGAGCACTTGCCTTGGTGTGCAACAGAGCTCTGAGTGGGTTTACTGTCGGCGTAGTGCACTCGAGCACACAGTGAGTGAAGAGGGCGCTCTCACGGTTTTGTTAGCTCTCTGCTCATGTTGTGAAGTGCTTTAGTTGTTTTTGTATCTGTGATAATGTGTGGATTTGAGTATGTGTGTGCATATTGGTGTGGCAAATGAGATTGTAAAGCACGCGCCAACAACATTTTATACATTTTAAAATTTTACTATAACCATTGGATTGTCTGTACGACGGCCGCAACCAACAACAACACCCCGACAGACTGGCATACAGTAGGTGTGGCTTAAAATTTAAATTTAGTGATTTTATTTGCTGAGGCTGTTGTGCGCAGCGCGGTATAAAGTAGAGAACAAAGAAGCACAAGCGGAGCTCGCCAACGCCATTCGCCGTCGCCGTCAGATGAGCTTGCTTGCACTTGAATGCTTGGTTGGGGCTGTGTGTAGGTACATATGTATGTACATACATACATACGTGCAATAGATGGGTGATTGTGGGGTATGATGTAGCGATTGGATTTTTTATGAATTTTGCTCGATTTGTTGTTATTGTAGGCTTAGAGCTTTTTGTTGTTGGAAGCTGCTTAGGTTGCCAAGGCCCTAGCTGTTGGAGGTTACGGTGAAGACGGTATTTCGGGAGCTAACTTAAAGATTTCCATACACATGCCTATTTTTGCTTTCTCGTCCGCACACTTGAACGCATATACCTATGTAAGGGGGATATACATATGTACATACTGCAAGTATGTACATATGTAGGTATGTAGTAGGTCCAAAGGTATGTGCATATATGTATTTCGCATTATCAAAATTGTCCCCCAGATGCCAAGTGGGCATATACAGCACTTAGAAGCACACACACATATGTATGTATGTATGTATGCATATATGCAAGTGGATACCTAGAAATCATATTTGTCACCGACACACACATTCCTATGTACGTATTAATGTAAATCTTAGGTATGTGAGTTTAAACAAGTACATGGTATGGAGCTTAGTCCGGACTCCCCATTCGCTCAGCTCTGAGTTTTTCATTGGTCGGCACATTCAAATTTTTTGTACTTCCCTTTTGCCTGTGTTCTTTTTCTTTACTTTCTAGTTTAAATTTTATGAATTTCTGATTAACTACATTCTTCTCGTTTTATTATGTTATATATGTTTGTGTGTGGCGCGTTATTGATTGGGTGCTGCCTCATAAATTCACATCGTAAATGCATGAATGTACATACATACACACATAAGCATACTTTCCTATATATGTACATACGTATGTAAGCACATACACACACGGAAATATGTATGTGTGAACATAAGTCAAAGCCACTTTTCAGGAGAGTTTGAAACACCCAATTATTTCTTATGGAAATATGTATATATAGTCATAAAAGCAGTTCGATTCCTTATGTGTTGGACTCTTAAGGCCCTTTTATTATTTGATATTTTTCCAATAACTTCAAAAAATAATCTCAAGAAAGCAAATATTTGATGAAATAATTCAAAATAATTTCGCAATAATTTCCGAGGGCTCGAGCCCCAGCAAGAATTAATATCGATATCTTACTATCCCGAAAAAAAAAACTCGTTTTGAGTCAAATTCTTCCTCGTGTAATATTATACATACCTACATATACGAGTGTAATTGACGCGTCATAGCCGCTTTGTCTGGATTGCGGCTTTCGGAATTTTGTGCTTCTAGACTTTGTGTGCCAGTATTTGGTACTGGCAAAACAATTTAATAGCAATAACAACTTTTTCATCTTTTTGAATTTCATACTGTTTTAAAAGTTTTCAGATTTCAAGAAAGCTCTTAAGAACTCCTAACACCAGCGTTGGCCCAAACAGGCCTACAGCACATAGCGAAGAGGCAAGGTATGATCTAAGCCCAAAACCTAGCACAGTCCGTAATATCCTTTGTGCAACCAAACATAATCACAGTTCATGTTAAAAAACGTAGTAAATGCATGAAATGCCGTTACAAGGCCCTGGAAAACCTAACCTTCAACAATTCAGAGGAAAAATCAATTACTTTCGGAGAATGTGGTTTGAGAAGTCATCTTTGCTTAAGATAAGTTAAGTTCGAATTCTGTGCTCACATATACCTATATACATATGTACATATAGTTTAAGGTTTTGTGAATTAGTTTGTTTTCACTCCGCAGGTTTACACTGTAAAAAGCAGAAAAATTGACGTTTTTTGCTTCATAAAAAAACTAAAAAAGTCGCCTTGCAAAACATTGAGGAAAGAAATCTGTGAAAACTCTAATTTTTATTCAAATGAACCAACCGGGCTTCCTGAGAATTGCCATTAAGAGCACAAGACAAGAGTGCCCACAATGTATGTGCGTATTTCTAGCGTCACTAAAAAAGTCACTTTTTATTATATTCATCTTTTTTTCTTGATTTGTTTAACTTGAAAAATACGACAAAAAACCAAAGAAAAAAACAGATAACAAAAAAGAGCAGCAAAACAGCAAAGCAATTGGCTTGAACTATGAAACAATTGTAAAAATTTTCAGAAACCATAAAAACCGGCATTCAGTCACACTCGCAGGTAAATTTGGTCACCTTCCAACCAACCGACCGACCGACTGACCGACCGACCGACCGCATCGAAGAGTCCTGTGCATTTTCCAACAGCAATGTGAGTGTGTGTATGTACGTGTATCTCAAGACTAAGTGAAACATTGTGTGCAACGACTTTGAGATTTCAGCAAAGTCCAGCAGCAAACTGTTGGTATTTTTTAATAGTTCTATTTTCGCCTTACCAATTAGCTGACTCGAGGGAAGGCTGGAAAAGGTAGCATCGCATTAGCATTTAATGGAACGGCAATAAAAAGGTTTTTCTGAAAATTTTACAACGTGCAATGCATGTACACACATGCATACATACATATGTACTTATTTATATACTTATATCTATGTAGATTTTTAAAATAGCATAAAAAGTAGTAAAAATAGGAGGAAATAAAATATTTAAAACGAAAGGGAAAAGTTTTATTACGGAACATACCAGTACATACTTATATAACTACATGCATGTGTACATACATATGTACAAATGTAAGAACTGTTTTTCATTAGGGCAAACCAAAGAAAATCCCATCGACCATCGCCCGCGAAAGTGCGATTGTAGAAAGCAGGAACAGAATTGATTTAAATAATTAAGTGTACCTTAACTAATCCTGAAAGAGCTTTGAAAATTACAAAGAATTTTGAATCAAAAATTTAAATTAATTTTAGTTCTTCTTTTTATTTAATTTTAGTCTGATTTTGAATAAAAAATGATTGAAAACAAATATTTATGTTGTTTCAAAAGCTGTTCAGGAAAACCTTTTAGGACAACTTAATTTTTACATTAATTTTATTAGAAATGGATTTTCAAAAGCTATTTATATAAATGTCGATCGTTATATTATTTTAGATGTTTTTAGATGATTTAATAAATTGTTATTTATTTCAGAATTTTAGGGTTTTTTGACATAATATATAAAAATCTATTAATAAATTAAATATTTATATATATATAGATATTTATTAATCTTATTTGGTATATCGTTATATTATATTAAATATATTATTGAAATTTTTAAAAATTATATATAAATCTAATAGATTTTTTATTTATAATTATTAAATTTTATATTATAAAATAAATCCTTTATAAAAGCTAAGACAATTGCTTTAAGTTTTGATCGTTTTTTTTCTTTTGGAATGTGATGTTTTCCCTCATTTGAATCTCAGGTTAAAAAATTAAGATAGAGAAAAATTTAGTCTAAAAATTGTGTTTATATTTATGTCCAAGAATACTAGATTTACCGGCCATACGTCCTTGAGGTCTATTTAACTTCTTCAATTTACATTGCAATGGATATTCTATTGATATTCATATTAAATTTCTTATTATAATATTGGTGCAGCTCAGTATTTATATGTATAGAATAGCCTCGAAGAGAGCCCAGCACTCTGATCTACACTCACGCTCAATAACGTTAACCGTACCTACGAACATACCATGTTTCGAACAAATCGAGCTTGCTCTTCGTCCATTTACAGAATTTGTTTGTCCAGACAAAGAGATACCTTCGAGCGAAAATTCCACAAAACCGAAGCACAAACATTTTTGTCTCAATAACATTGGTATCTGGTCAACCTCTTAAAATTTCGAGCAAATCGCAACGTAAGCTAGATTTTTTAGGTCCATTTTCTGGAAGGAAAAGTGATACATATCTCAATTTAAGCATTAAAGCGATCCCCCCAGCAGTTATGTTGGTACTAATCTAAGCAAAAAGCTACTAAGTACCGAATTCCGAATTAATCGATCTTTGCGATAGGTCGGTTCATGGTCCGCTTTTCGGAAGGAAGAGTGTTAATTTAGGCACAATACAGAAAATTTTTTTTTGAGATGGATTGTTCCCAAGATCTACTTTCCGGAGGAAAAATTGGTTCTTAACTTAGTTTAAGAAAGGGGTGTACCTGTGTACGGAGTTTCAAACAAATCGAAAAATAAATATGATTTTTTCGGGATTTCCTTTTGACAGTTGGTAACTCTTTCAAGGATATCGAAACTTCACAGGAACCCTCTCCGGTCTTCAATGAAGCTTTACTGAACATTCGGATATGCGCCATAGATATACGCATGTATTTGTATGTACCCCCCCTTTTATATACGAGCATATATGTACTCGTATATGTATTAATG